AATGGGAAATAAAGACAAACGAAGTGTAGTTATTTGTTTTTTTAGAGATTATATTGAAAAATAATCATGCCATTGTGTCCTCTTTGTTACCCCAGCAGTGTTTGTCGTGTGATTTTAAACTTCTTTGACAAACTTATGAATTAGGTTAGATAAAAATAAATCCACAAGATACTGATGTACAAGTAACAGTTACTGGCATAATGCGCCGTTGCTTTATTCTTTAGTTTTTATAGAAAGTTGCACGGAATACCCGATTTCGCGGATTCAACGATACCCTAATATCGAGTATTATACGCGATTTCACGGATAATACCCGATTTCGAGTATTCTCTCCGACCTGTTTAAATTAATAAACAACTCTGCTGACAAAAATTTAATTGGGAGATAAATATAATCATTGAATGAAGAAGAAACGGGACCTCGGCGATATTCAAATGGTTCTATCCTACAGGTTTGTTGACACATACTATCATTTCTCGTTTCTCTATGGCTTTCAAAGAAAGAAATCAGTGTAAACTCAACTTTAAAATGCACTTATTACAAATAAAGATTTATTGCCATTTGAAGTGAAAATTGTATTGGAACTACAGAAAGGTATTATGTTTGACATTTTGCCGCGATGACGTATGATTTGGTGGGTTTCCCTTTCCTGCACCCTTATACACAAAACGTCAACATTCATACGTTATCATGTTGAATTCGTCTGAATGCAGACTAATATGTTAAGTATTATAAATTTACCGGAGAGTTAAGATATTTTGATTCTCTATATTCAATTTCCATTATACGTAATTGTGAACCTTACATTGTATGCACGTGCCATTTTAGAATTCACGTGGTACAAGTAAATAGATCCAGTTGTACGACTCTTGATTTTCCGGCAGATTCCAATTACGTTAATTTTGTATGAGGAGGGAATATTTATTTTTCGCAAATGCTTAATTCAACTTTTTACCTTATTCCTGAATGATATATTGAGTAAATATGAATGAAAAAGCATACAATTTGCAGTCGTATTGCCGCTTTAAGTGTATTTGGTTGCAACAGACCGTATCTCAGGATTCAACGGTAAAGTAGAGCATATACCTGTACCCTTGTATCTATTGTAAACCAACGTACCCCAATGACCTTTAAACTTTAAGCGTCTGTGCATTTCATATATTTGTAGATTTTCCAGTTGAGGTAATTTACTTTACTTTTAATTAAAACAATGATAGAAATAATTGAAAATCAAAGATTTCAATGTATATTTGTTGATTTAATTTCAATTAAGAAGTATATAATTATAAATATCACAATTGCGTATTAGAGTACTTTCGTTTTATTTGCCAGCCTTTGGAATAGCGGCCATATTCTTTTCTATGTAATTAAGTATTCAATGGCGACATTGTGCCTCCTTTCAAATCAATAAAGCGCTCAAAACTTTTTCCTGAATTTATCATACAAATAAAGATATAAAATTATCTTGGGATTAATGATGAAAAAATGTTCACTTATGACACTCTTTTCAGTTGATGATTTATCACAATAGACATTTGTTTTATTTTTTTGTTGTTGCCGGTTGAGAGCTGTAAATCTTATCATATACTCAGATCGAGTGAACAAGGAGGGATTTTTTTTCGTGCCAAAACCTGCTCTGACACGAGATCTCGGTTTATTCAGTCTCAACCCAAGAACTGATCCACACGACCCACAGTGGGTTCAAACCCGCGACGTAAGGATCGACTCCTTCCTCCGTAGTTCTAGAACAGATGCTCTTAGCAATTGTTAAATTTTAGACAATTTGCTTAGAAAACATATGAGAATGAATTGCTGACTCGTAGAATTCATTTATTGACATATACCATTTTATTTTACATTTTACTGTATTAAATCATTGAAGAGCAACCGACGATCCACAAAAATATTCAGGGTAAACGCTTTTTATCTAGATCATTTGGGTACAGTCCACTAATTGTTTTCCCATAGGCGCGATGTTAACGTTTCTTCTCATAGCGTCCCTAATTTTCGTTCAAAAGTGAGTGACCCCTCAAACCAATGCACATCAACTTGTCTTTCCTTGGTTAAAATCTCGAGGTGGCATGTCAGATTCGTTTTCTGGCAAAGTGCGTCTGTCTGCGGGAACCTGTAAAATTGAAAATGAAAGTAGGGGAATTTCAGAGTTCTCACTGGCGTTATAATACATAAAATAATTCGGCTGATCTTCTTGATAAATTTCATTTGCCAAGCTTTTTTGGCAGGTAAGATACTCCTTATTAACAAGTGTGAGGCTCAGTTCAGTACATCTGCCCAATTTTTTTTTATGCAAGTCTGCAAATTAAGGAACTTGTTTAATTTTTTCTGCACTACTTTCTTCTCCCACCGTTTCTTAAAATAATTAGTGGGATGTACCCATTTACATGATTCTTTTTATCTATGTATGCAGAATAAAGACTTTTCTTGAATATGAGTTAAATAGAAGTTACCTAACCAACTAGAATGAAACTGGGAAAAGTGCAGACATTCATATTCTTGATTGTTCAATGTCCTAGGGTAAGTTTAATATGATTTTCGAAAAATTGAAAGCAATATGTTATAAAATCATGTACATTGGAATAACAAAAACTTAACGAACTATATTTTTCCTGCTATTTATTTGTGCTGTCCTTCATTTTAGCTGTCTGACAGTGAAAATCGACATTGCTCCTGGTCTATACAAACAATGAGAAAAGTGAATGCTTGTCCCGTAACCAAATATGAAGTGGAAAGGGCTGCAGAGAATAAAGATTGCAATGAATTGGCTTTGAAACAGAATTGTACTAGCGCGGAAAATTTTAAGTACCACTGTCTAATGAACGAACTTGAAGACGGCTTTGTTGAAGTATGTGCTCCTGCATACTTTATACATGGTATGCTATTTTGAATATAAGATAAAATTAAGATTTAGAAATGACACTTAATATATTAGAGATGTCAAATCGGTCAATGTTTAACAATCGTCTACTCGTACGTTTTTCCGATCGAGTACCCGGCTATTTGGTAAAATTGTAAATAAAAGTCTGTTAATTGTCTTCAACCCAATTAAGCTCTGTGAAACTTTTTATTACGTTTTAGTGCATGTTAAAAACATCGAGTTCAGGGAAATTATTTATTGTACAAAATGATTTATTAAAAAACACACACACACACAAAATACATCAATTTGCTAAAATAAATAATTGTATTATTTTATCTTATTAAATTCGGCCCGAGCAGATGATGTGAGATCCGAAAAATCAGGGATAAATATATATAGAAAAATGATTTCTGATTTCCCTGATTTTTCGGATCTCACATCATCGGCCTGGGCGCATAATGCTAAAACTTGCTCACATTTTATTTCAGTCTCACTTTTTCCACTCGTAATTCTTTTTGAGAAAGTGAGACTGATATCAAAATTCTGCTCATCTAAGTGTAAGGGCCCCAGGCATGTTTTAAAATCTGTCCTCTCCTTCTTGATTCAACAAGGGAATTTAAACCTTATCTAATGCAAGAATGGACTCTGTAGGCATGTAATATTACAACTTTTAAATATCTTCTCATATTGTTTCTTTTCCAAAATGAAAAGAGAAACACGGAATGAACTTTCTTAACATCCTTTATATAATTTGCAAAGTAATTTTTATTGAAGGATTCTGTGCAGAGTATAATATTCAAGCTGCACTAATACAAGATCACTTCAATATAAAATGCAAAGATGTAAAGCCACCATGTGCAGAGCGATATAAATCATCAGACGCCTACCTTTGTAAGTGTATTCAATATATAGTTCCACATTTGAAATTAAGCTAGTATTAATCAAATTACGTGTTTTTACTAACTTAATATACAGTATCATATTTTGTTTAGATAAAGGTTGTTACAATCTTATCCTTGAGAACAATAACTTATCGACAATGGAATCAACAACTCATAAACACAACACATCAATATCTTTCATGATAAATGACATATCTGCTGAAAGTACAAGGCAAGTCATCTTAGTCATATTGATTAATTTAAACTCAACAGATATATAATATGATTTAACAAATATATTATACATTTTTTACTACATTTTCTTCACAGTGATTGGAAAATAGCAGTAGGGGTGACTACAGCAACTGTCCTTGTCCTTGTTATCATCTTGGGACTTGTATTTCATAAAAAAATAAAGGGTTAGTACAAGTTAATTGCATTTATCAGAATTTTACATCAAATTAATAATGTATTATGTCTCATTTCCCATTCTTAAGGTCAAGATCTAGTAAATGTGTTTTGACTAACTTTTTGGTACAAGATCCATTATGACGTCATTATCACTTTCAACTTTCTTTTTCCCATACTTTACGGCTCTGATAGACTGATTGATTGATTAATGTTTTACGTCGAATCGGCAATATTTCAGCCATATATCGGCGATAAAATTTAAATTTGGTGGTTTTTTATAAAAAGAGGATACGAAAATACAAATTATCGTTTTCTGAAAAACTGTAGGCAATCAAGATATATTTTCTGTTTAACATTGAAAAAAAAAACTCCCATATTCATGTCTGGATTTCTTAATTTTTCATTGAAAATTACAGTTGTTTATTATATGATATTTCATCTTTTATTCTTTCAAATTATGCCCAGAAACATCTTTTTTGACCAAGCTGAAGTTATAAAGCACCATTAAGGAATTTATTTCTTAAATTTGATAAATCTGTAGGCAACTTTCATTTACTAAATCTTGACCTTAAGTTAGTTAATATAATAAAATTAATGTCAACGTAAATGGATGAAGCAAAAGGTCTGGGAAATGTTCATGTATGGTGTGTTTTTTATATTTTGAGGTTTTGATTCAAACGAGGTTTTCCTTTGAATGCTATATTAATATGCAGATAATAAATTTTAAAAAAAAATAGATGTTACAATATAAAAAAAATTGTTAGATCTCATTTATTGTGATTGGAATTACTTCATATTCATATATCATTCTTTAAATGTTTGTTCAATTTTAAATAGAATTATGATTTCAAATTAATAACGATTTCAAATTAATCATCTTAGAGAATTAGAAAACCTTTTACTACATTGCTGAAAGAATGCAGACCTATATAATTTTTTTTACCCAAAATCATTTCATTTTAGTTACGTTGAAAAATGTTCTTTGTATTTTGAAAAGAGTACGATATTTTTTTTCAGGTTATTGCAAAGGAGAAAATGAAACCGAACAGCAAGGTAAAAGCACATACAATATGTTCAGATCAGGAAGGCTGTATAAGTCATATTAGATGGATGTAAAAATCTCTATGTTTTGATTAATCAAGTTCTGATAAGTACTAAGTTCTTTCAGGGAAGGTGGGGATATATTATTTGATTAACTTTATTTAGTGAAACATAGGTTTTTTTTTAAACAACAAGAATATCTTTTTTGAAGAGCGACAGCGCCAAGTGTACTTACTGGTAATTAAGAATTGTGGCTTTCTTGATTTCGCATTTTGAAAGTCTTTAATAATACTCATTACAGTAACTTACACTGACATTCTTTTTCAATTAGATCCAGAGTCGAAAAAAAATCTTATTGGAAAATATTTCTGTGCAGGTATAGCTTTTCAACACTATATTATCCTTTTCCTAAATTTGCGTCTAAGATAAATATAAATAAATACTTACTAATGCAGTATGATCTTTATAAGTATATCGTCATCCCTCGCTCCTTCATCTTAAGTAATAGCTAACAGAGAAATGATTATTTTTATATATTTCCTCTCAAGAGAAAGAAAATGCTGAAATATTTGCAAGCAATTCCGCAACTGATAAACTGGGTAAGTAGAGATTGATCAAATTAATTTAGAAAAAATACAAGAATCCACTCAGCTTTACATATGTACATATTGTAATAGTGGCCCAAAATATGTAAAGAATAAATCGCCACTTATTGGTTCATCATTTAGTAACTGTAAGATTTGACATGGATAGATCAACAAAATGATATAAAATATATTATATACAGTAGTAGAATAGTCCTGTAAGAGGATAGAAATAAACAATAATTGGCATAAAAGGTCAACATTAATATTCTCACATAACAAGGAAGATAACTCTTGTTATCATTATAAAATTCAAATCACTTTACAAGCTATTCCCCTTGACTGCATGAAAATATATTAAAACATTAATTCTGATAATGAACATTACGTACGTCCAATATTACTAAATAGATAAAAAAAATTCCAATGCAATTATTTCACGTTACATTTATTAAAGGTAAAAAGATATGATTATCAATTAATCACCTATTTATGGAACAAAGCCAACTCAATAAGCTGCCTGAAATGTATGATATCCTACATATCAACTGTAAATAATAATTCAACTACATAACTTCAACACAAAAATCATATGAATACATATTAATGATATTTATATATTACTGAGATCAAATGATAAATGTAAGAGAAAGAATCTTGATAATTAAACCAACTGAATTTACAGGTATTCATGAATGATAGAAATTTACAGAAATATAAAATTAGATATTAATCAAGATAATAAAATATAGAGTGCACTTACTATGGTAGTACATAATTCGGGTCAGTCAAGAATATTCAAATATGGCAGACTCCATATAGATACAGTTATTGACAACTACAGAATCATTGTATGGAAATTTCCTCTTAGGAACTAACTTTGTAATGAACAAACGTAAGGTTATTCACCAGGAGCGGGAAAATATGCTATGTAAATCTACTGGTTCTTCAAACCACATGACATGTATCTCATGTCTGTAAATGATCACATACGTAAAATAGCCATAGACATTTAGAGGCCATGTCAGTAAGCATTGAGCTTTGAATGGAGAGTAAAAAAACTTAATTTTCTTGAAATGAGTGTTTATGGATTATTTCAGTCACAATCATTGTATTCGCAACTTGTTACTTCAAGCACCATTTAAGCCCCATAGCTGGTTGCGTTTCATTGACGATATAGAGATGAAGTGGGTGGATTGTCGCGAGAGCCTCGAAGCATTCATTACGTTTGCCAACACCTTTCATCAGTCAATCAAATTTACAGTAGACGTATCTAATTTGAAAAACGTATTCCTAGATACTACATCTACCCTGATACGACTGATATCTTTGTCCTGTCAATAAAGCAATCAACATGGCTAACTTCTAACACAAAAGTCTAACACTAATAGTATTTACAGGAATAAGAGTTTTCAAATATTCTAAAACTAAAGAAACATCCCATGTATATTCATATCTAGGCAATGATAGTCTTTTGTTGAATATGCCTCTTATAAATCGCTGAATCAAACTATCGTAACCAAGACTAGTTTCAGGATTAATAAATTCAAACACTGAAGAAATACATGACTTTGCTGTGTTCACAGCACTATAACCTAATTCACTGTTGTACAATTGTAATAAAAACTCTTAAACATTATTTACAGATGTTTGAAATAAATTAGTTGATTTTCGCACACAAAATAGCATCCATCTATGGAAAAACGTCCAATATTGTTATTGTGTGGATTGTCTCCAGGATGACAGCAAAATGTCTGCAATGTCCTCCGATATATTTTGCTGTTTAAGGCTCTCCCTGATATGTTGCGCACAGAAAGTCGCATTTTTGACATGGGGTGCTTCTCGGTTGGTGACACTGAAATAGTTAATAGATGATGTCGCTTGGGTATCAGAATAGGTGGTTCCACCAGTAATCGAAGTAATTTTATGAACCATTGCTGAGTTGTCCAAAGAGATGCCACCAGAACTGCTTTGCATCTGTCTTTCTCTACCTTTTGAATGACTCTCCCAAACAAGCTAAAAGGAGGAAACATATGATGTAGTTTATTTTATGCCCATACAAAGCTAAAAGCCTGGTAAAAATGACACAATGTAGTTAAGTGTGTATTAATTTTGGAGCCAAAAAAATCAATGTCAGGGGCTCTTAGTTTTTCACAAATATTTTGAAACGCAGTCTTGTCTAACATCCATTCCATATCCTTAGATAAGTTTCTCGAGAGTCTGTCTGCTTCATAGTTTTTCTTACCATAAAGGTGACAAGCAGTTTACCAAATATTTCGAAGTTTACACCAAAGCCATATTTCTCGTGCCAAGTTGTGTAATGTCGGAATTTTACCTCCCATATTTTGCAAGTGAGAGAGAGCTACTGTATTGTCCATACACAGTTTTATCTGACAGTCTTTCATGATAGAGCAAAAACTTTTTGAGGTCAAGAACCCAGTCAACAGTTCCAAATAATTGTTGTGATTTTGTTGTTCTGTATAAGGCCAGTGTCCCCCTGTCCTTTTTAAAGAGTCACCTTATAGTTGTCCCCCATCCTGAGCCTGAACTATTGCTCTCTAACACCACATATGGTTCGGGTCTATTGATAGGGTAGAGACTTGTGTGAAAATTGTTAATCCACCATGATAAGAGATCTCGCGCTGATTCTGATATTTTAATGACTGAATGGTAATCACCTTTAGCAGATTTTAATGCTTGTTCTTTTTCATGTTCTAAGTCTTTCAAATATAGTGGTGCGAATTGGACACCTGGTTGACATGCAACCTATAATTTGTGAGAAGTCTATGATAGAAGTTTATTAACGACGTTCGATCCTGATATTAAAAGTCTCAAACATTTTTTGCCAAGTATATTTTTAGTTTCTACATACATAGCTTAATTAAAATTCAAATAAAAAAATGGGGGTCAGTATGCATCTTTTAACGCTACAGTACATTTAATATGACCTTTCTACACTGAAATTTGTGTCTTAATTAGAAATTACATCTTTGATGTTTTCCCTCCAATATTTTTATCTAATTAAAGCATGAAACAAAATGAACTCTAAGTCTGTTTAAAAAAAAAGACTCTTAAAAACTGTGACTAAGAAAAAGTTTCAAATTGCTTCGCATAATCAATTATTTGACCTTTCTGCAAAATAGAAAATAACAAATAAATTGTTATTTTTCCGGCATTGAAAATATAATAAGCAAGAAAATAATTTTAAAGTATTAAACTTTTTCTGATTTAAAGCAAATAGGTCAAAGTTATGTTGAATATTTAGAAAAGAACATTAAAAGTGAGGGTATATGATTTACATTTTCAGATATTTCTAAAAATGTGTGAATTTTACGTTAAAATTGGCTAAATTTTTCCCGGATTTTCAGAAAATGTTTACTATATTTGTCACACTTTGTTGATAGAATTTATAAAAAATAATTTAATAGATATTTCAGATCAAGCATAACATATTTCACTGCAAAAAACAGCTTTGTGTGCAACCAGCATGGAAAAATAGGCATCCAAAATTAACAGTACTGTTATAGTTCAAAAGCTGACCATTTTCGTCTAAAAAAAATATTCCGCCACAAAATAAAGTCCATAGCATAATTCTACTTGAATTGAATTAAATCGCGGTTTTTTCATTGAATATAGTTTAATTTGCATTGTAGAATTCAGTTTTATTGTTAAAACCTAAAAATGATGCTTAATTTTATGAATAAAGGACCTGCGCGAAAAACACTTAAAATATCAGGATCGAACGTCCTTAAGAAGTTTATTTTTTTTGGCATAGTAGGACAATTTTTGTCTGCTTTTTAACAAGATGCACGTCTTTGAAAACAATGAAACCTCAAAGCACTGACCATCACGTGACCTCAAAGCAATCTCATTGGTTACCTCAGTACTGTTGATTTGGTAAAATTGTTATATACACTATTCCCAATTAATTTGGTAAATTGGTGGAAAAAACTCATTAAATATGATATTTGTTCCATTGACTTTATGGAAGACGTAGAAAAACTAAGATTTGGATATAGTGTACAGGCATGTAGCATCGAATTTCTAAGTTTGGGGCCAACCTTTTTACTTACCTGTAAAAGTTGATAAGCGATAAAAAAAAAAAAACAAAAAAAGGAAATTGCCAAAACTCGAAAATCCTATTTCGTGGGGGGGGGGGGGGGGAGGTTTCGGGGGGGCGGGGTAGTGGCCACCTTTTTTCATTGCCAACTTCCCTTCACACTCCATTTTTGTGCATAGAGTACTACATTTCCTTGATATTAACAGACTGTGGTAAGAAGTGGGGAGGGGGGGGGTGGCAACCAACCGTTCGATGTCCATTTTCAATAGTAAAGGTTATGTTGGTGAAAAAGTGGGGGGGGGGCTGCACTCCACCCCCCTGATGCTACGTTCCTGGTGTAGGTTTTGAAAATCTGATTTATAAATGTGGAAGAAGGTGAGTTAATATGACTTATATGTGTATATAGGCCCTATTGTAGGGACTTGAGTCTTACCAGCAGTGTGACCTCATGATTTCTTTACATAATTCACAAATATTGGCATATTTCAAATTATTTTAAATATCATTATTAGAATTCATCTAAATTTGATTGTAATAGAAGTAATCTATAAACTGCAGAATAAAACATTAGTGGTCATATAAATTACTGCTCTAAATTACGGTAGCTGTAGGCTGTAGGCACGTTCCATAACTAACTGATTGTATCACTAGGAATGAGAAATAGTTCTGAAAGTACCTTCCGAATTTTTTATTTTGTTTTAAAGAGATAAGTTTGTAAAAATTTTACCCAAAATGTATATGAAAAATACATATTTAACATACCACTATATGTTTTTGTTTATCTACTCCAAGTTGGAATTCGAAATATTCCTTTTTATCCTGTATTTTTTTTTCTTTCTGGTCTCTTTACAAGAGAGCTTAAGCAAGGGGGTCAATCCAATTGTTTTTCAACAGAGTTTTACAACAATTCAATCTGATATTTTACTTACAGTCTTCAGCATCTACCCAATTTTATTTACTTAATATATTGAACAGTACATTCTCCTTCTACTGATATATATAGAAATTACTAAGGTGCACAGCTATTTAAAAACCACATAGGTCTTTATGGGTTATAATTCTGTCGGTAAAATCAAAGTAAAATTAAACACAATTTAAATGTTACTTATAAAACAGAAAAATATAGTTCAAAGCACTTTATGACAGACATTTTAAAATTATACATGGAGTTTTGATGTAAAATATATAAATTATAACAACATAGGCCAGTCCAAATATTTCTCCGTTGAAGTATGTAAATATGCTTTGGTTGCCATGGAACCAAGAGGTCATACATGTATGCCTGGGTAGATATATTTTTAATAGACTAATCATATTCATGGTTAACAAAATTTGAGCAAGAAATAAAAGTTTCCATTTTTCATTTTATAAAGGGTGAAACTAATGCTCACTTACATGGCCTCTTAAATGAATAAGTCAGCTAATGCTCAATATAAAGCACAATTAAAGAACCAAAAGGAAAATAGAGTAATAGAGGAATGACTTTTATGTGTATCTAATTGTGTTTCAATTCAATTATATACAAAATGATGCTGCTGCTGCTGCTGATGATGATGACGATGTAAATGATGATCAAGTGAAATAATCATAAAATCAAGAAATGCGATATTCATTTAATATCATTTATTAATCATAAAATTATATATTAATAACAATCATCCTATTACACATAGGTTCATTGAATTTCCATAATTCATATAATATCTTACAGTTCAAGCTATCGCCCGAGGTGAAAGTCTTAGAGAAGTTGTAAAAAGAGACGGTAAGAGATATTTTCCTAAACTGTTTTTTGTTCTCTTTCAACTAAGATACACATCGGGTACTTTCCAATCCAATCCATATAAATATCAAACTGTTACTGATGCAATGAGGTGCTTTCTTGATCATTATTTGGACATGAAGATCGTGTTTTTATCCCTAGTGGGGATATTAATTTGGGTCTGTCCGTCCGTCCGTACGTCTAGTTGTTCGTCTGTCTAGCTGTCCGTTATTCTGTTTGTATGTAACGCTTTCATTTCCACACGATATTTCGAGAACCCTTTGAGCTTTCGCATTGACTTTTGGCATATCAACTCCCTATGGACTAAAAAAGAACCCTATTGATTTTGAGGTCAAAAGGTCAAATGTCAAGGTCATAAATTCGAAAATTCTGTCTGTTATAACACCTTTGTTTTCGTGCGATATCTCGAGAACCCTTTGAGTTTTCGCAATGAAATTTTACATAACAACTTTTATTTTGAGGTCAAAATGTCAAAGTTCAAGGCCGTAAATTTATACATTATGCCTGTGTTTAACACTAACTTTTCCCGGTGATATTACAATAGGATTTTGAACTTTTGCAATGTAATTTTATACCAAAACTCCCTAGGACCTCTCTCACCCCTCTCAAAGTGTCCCGTTTGTTTAATTGCATTACAGGTCGCTATTTTTAACAAAGGGGCATGAGGAGAGTTATTACGTATAAAACAGGTTCTCGGCGGACTTTATATTCTCATTGCATTAATAAAAGCTAAACTAGACACCATGCATTGTGTAAACTTTTGTGTAAAAAAAAATCCGTCATCAATTCAGTGTATAAATAATGGACTAATAATTGGTATGAAAAATGTACGTCGGCAATTGACTCAATTATAAACTGTATTTGATTGTATCGACCATAGAACTTACGATATGATGACTTTAATCTAGACTGCTGATATTCTTGTTTCGTCAACTTGCTTGTCAATAATTTACTAATTTAATATAAATATCAACAGCTTACAGCAGTTCCGTAGTGTATTGATATGTCTCTCGCTTCACATGTGAGAGGTCCCGGGTTCGAATCCCGGACGATCCATTTTCTTTTTTTTTTCAAAATACTTTTTTTTTACTAAATGATAGTATTCAGCATGTAAAATGAAAAATTTATGAGGTCTGGCTTATACAAACTAATAAAATCATCATTACAGTGTGATAAATATTACATATAAAAAGAATCTTCTATACACATTATGAATAAGCAATCAAATCTATATATGTGTGACCATGTCATATTGAAGAAAACACAGTTATATAGTTGCATTGATTTTTTATTGCCATGGATCTCGTTCCACGTGTAACAATCAATAAAGTGAAAATATCGGCCCTATAAGAATTAAAATACAATAAGTACGGTAAATGACATCAAACAATATATTCCATTCAATGCAGTCCTCATACATCGACACGGATTTTAATAAAAATAGATTCAACAGATTTTAAATGTTCCCAAATTCATGAATGCGTAAAAAGGGAAATAACTCTTACAAATTACAGAATTACCAAAATCGTGTTTAGATAGAAATTTCCGTAAGTTTGAATAATTTATCAAAGTATATTAAAAATGTAAAAACAAGTACCGGTAATAATTCCTATAGCGTACCAATTTATGGAATTAGCCTGACTGCTACAAGAAGCTGGTAAGTACTAGTGGTTCAAATATTACATGTATACTGAACCTATATAAAAACAACAATCATAGGTTCATAATCTCAAGACAATATTATAGCTGATCATAAAAATAATAAAACTGTACAAATACAACATCTATATCCATAGTTGCTTATAATCAATATGATTACTGAAATATACTACTTTACAAGAGATAATGAACTTTACTTCAAAACTTCACTCGTTCTCTCTTTCAATCAAAGAAATTATATTACGTGAAGATAGAAAGATAAAAGTAGAAAAATAGATAAGACTTACTGTACGTGTCTGTATTCAAATACTCAATTGAAATCTTGTAAAACACAAATGTATAATGTTGAATATGTAATGGTCGAGACAGACTCGTCTCACAGCCGGTATCGTTGGCTAACCGTGCGAGAAGGAAGTGCCCCCGCACAACACATCGAACAATAGAAACTTACCGCCAAAACCCTTGGCCAATAAAACTACGTAATTCGTAATGTCAAAGGTCGACAAGGTCAGCCAGCCAGAATTAGTAGCATGCAAAGTGAAAAGTGCAATGATGATAATAATAAATATAAAACACTTTGAGATAAATAAATATTCTTTATTAATTATTTATTTATTTATTTATTAAAAACCACTCTGCCACATGGATATTGACATACATGTTTTTTTGTTTTGTTTTTTTGTTTTTTGTTTTTTGCTTCAGTATACATGTATACATTTAATAATTCTACAAATTCAGTCAGGTGAATCCGACTTTTTTCCCTAAGCGTGGGACACGAATTCTCTGAATTAGCTTGTTGTAAAATGATACAGTGTATAGATCTCTAGTAATCTATTTATTTCCTATACTTAAAGATGAAATAAAAAATGTCTAATTTTATTAATAATATTGACATTATTCAGAATACTGTTGAATGTACATTTTTCACGTGAAGACTAAGAGCCTGTATATGTATTTATATCATCCTCAATTTTATTTTTGAAATCAAATGATATTAATTATGATATTTTTGTCAATTTAGCATTTGCTGCATTCGAAAGTTCTGAAAAAAACAAAGGTAATCAAAAGTTAAATTATAGGCACTACTCTTGCTTTAGGATTCTATCAGCCACTAATTCCATGTCAGTGATATAGCATACGAGGAATAACATTAAAATGTTACATTTTAAGGAAAAAAGTTTATATATGAAGTAAACTATTTACCTTTTTACAGTTGTGTATATCGATTAAAACAAAGTCTCGCTTTCTTGCAGTTGAAACAGAAAAATACATGAAGGCCTACAGGACAATAAGTTCTTACTTTGTTAAAACGAGATTGTATGAACAATGCCAAAGAACTCTTGAACAGAAAGGTGTAGCTATATTAACAGGGTTACCAGGATGTGGTAAAACATTAACAGCTATTCAAATTATGCAAACATCATATTACAAGGACTGGGTTAAGCGCAAATTCACATCATGGGAACATTTTCTTCTTTTAGAAGCCAACGAAAACACATTGGTATATATTGATAATATATTTGATGGCATCATGTATCGGCATGAGTTACAAAGGTGGTGGGACTCACTCTGCTATTATTACCAGACCTATATAAAGAGTCAGCATGTAAAGGTTCATCTTCTTATAACTGTAAAAGATCACGTTATTGATAAAATACGTGAATATATGAAGATGGAAATACCTGTATTCGAAGAGGCATGCATAATTCGAGCAATTTCTTTACCATTCATGGACGATGAAAAAAGAAAAATTTTAGATTCACAAATCAAGTACGCGAAGAATTCTCGGAATATTCTACCCCCATTGATAGATGAAGAATTTTTTTCACAAGTGAAACAAGTGAACGGACCTATTGGTTTCCCTTTATGTGCTCATCTTTTTGCATTTGAGGAAAGACCTTGCAAAAAAGATATCACCGTGTTTGAGTTTCCTATTCGCTACATAATAAATCAGATAGCAGATGAAATAGAAAAAGATAACACAAATGGTGTAAAAACATTGTGGTTGCTCCTTCTATTTTCTTATCCGAGAACAGATATTCAAGATCAAAGACAAAAACTTGACTTAAAATATGGACAAACGTGTCGTGAATATTTAGAAAAAAGGGGCTCAAAAGTATTGTTAGAAAAGTTGGAACCGCTTGAGTTTGCAAATCTTATTGAAATTGCGGAGGATTTCAAAGAAAGGATGTTAGTGGAGCACTCAGGTAGTTGTTATCAGCTTAAACACCAGATTTATGTTGATGGTGTGGTTGGGTATTTTTGTGTTGAAAAAAGTGAAATAGCGGTCAAATTTTTTCCTTTAGACCTTTTAAGAGAACAAGATTTCATTGGTGTTCAATCTGAATGTCGTGCAAAGTTGATAGAAAGATTCAAAAAAGAAATAAAAGATAAACATCTATCTGAGGTTTTTGCTTGTAAAATATTTAGACAACATGACTTTGAGAATCAATTTTCTCGTGAATTAGAAAAAGAAGGAATAGCAGATTGGATTTCATTTTCGGATGAATCATCAACATATCATTTGCCAACTTTATTCTGGACTAGCAAATACCGTCTAAATCGTTTGTCGAGAATGGTTATGGAACTTATTGAGAGAAAGGGAGAAAATGTAGATAGTCACTTCTACTTTGCTCGTTTCGGAGAATGTTGTGCATACAGTGAAAATTACATACAGAATACAAGCTTTGAAATAGATCATATCAAAAAGTCTGTTTGGAATTTCAAAAGTGAAGAGGGATTTACAATTTTCCATATTACTCTTTTGTTGGAAAGGTCTGATTATTATGCATATCTTATTTTAAAAAAACTTTTCAATGATATTGAGACCGCAATTGATCAGTCACTAAAAGATTCTCTTCTGAAGACTGTTTTATACCAACGAAGCTGTAGTCGAATATTGTGCTTGCTGGAATTAATGAGCAGAAAAATAACTTATGCTGACTTGAAAAAATCACCAATTTCCACAGTCGTAAACGACTTGGATTTAAACGAACATAATGAATACTTTGAACTAGAATGCTTGGTTCGAATATGCCTTCTGTTAATTGGGGGTATCGATAAGCTACCGCAAGATTCATCAGATATTCGATGGCGGTGTGGTAAATATACACAGATTAAAAACTTTTTATGTTCATCCTCAGCTAAACAAACAACAATGGTAAAATGTATTAAAAAATGTCTTTATACCAAGACAGCTGATGTTTCAGAAATTGATGAAATCAGTTTCCCTCCATTCCCGAAAAATCTATGTTCAGATATGAAAACGACTGTCATTAAATCGATACATATTCTTGCCAATATGGAAACATTTGGGAAATTTTAAATATCATCGTTTTTCAAACTGCAGGGTACAGGTGAACTAAACGTTAATTTTATTTTTTAAAATATTTTCCATTAACGTAGAACCTACGTCGTATTACATCATATCTAGTGAATGTGTTTAGGCTTTGCTAGATCCATTATGATGTCATAATTTATATAATGTTTCTTTCCTGTACTTTACAGCTTCAATAAAATTGAAGAAAATAAAGACTTTTGCAATTTATGCAATACAATTTAAAATCATGCCAAAATACTCTAAATGTGTACATATTCAAATTTTATATTTTGGTTATGAAACTAAATGACTGAATACATTTCTTAAATAAGAGAAACGTGTAGGCACCTTTAATTTACTAAATCTTGACTTTAACTGAACTAATCAAAGACTATCTCATGTAGTACACAACTTATTGTGATAATGTGAATGGTATGAAACTTTTTAAGGGAATGCAACTTTTAAGAAAACTTCAGTTGACAACTGAATATAATGATATCTTGATGAAATGTATCTGAGTCAAAGATGTGTTAAAGATTGTGTGTAAATTTTGTGATGTCTATTATGAAGTGATGTGCATTCTTTTCATTATTATTTTTTGATTATACATGCATATATTTTCATGGATGGTTTATGCTACACAATTTTAATGTAATAAAAATTTAGCCTTGAGTAATAATAAATATTGTATAGCTATATGAAATTGGTTTTCTGTTTTCTTATATATATATATATATATATATATATATATATATATATATATATATATATATATATATATATATATATATATATATATATATATATATTTATATATATATATACCTTTCAAAAAAAGAAACGCATCGTAGAATTTTAGTGACACATTGAACATAAAGATTATTTAGTAAAATGATGCATAGTTAAAACAGAAATGTGGTAGGCAACAGGAATAATATCGAAATGTTAAAATTACTCAACAATTTTAAAATTATAGTCAGTTTAAGACCATTAAAGATCAATATCTGGTATGCCCCCCGCAGACGCAAATGTTAGCCACAAACGGCATCTAATGGAAGCAAATGTGTGTAATAAAAACTGTATAGGAATACTCTCCCACTCCAAATCTAGAACTTTAGTCAGTTGTTGCAGAGTCAGGGGATGCGATTGTCTTTGGCAAATCATATCAATCCAATTTGTCCAATGTTGCTTAATTTGGATTAAATCTAGCAATTCAGATGACTGTGACTGAAACAGGTTGTTGTTTCTTTGAAAGAATAGGTGTATCAAACGAGCCATATGTGGCTGTGCATTGTGAGATTGCAATACGGCTCTAGGATGCTGCAAAATTGAAGGGGTATGTGCAGGTAGAACATGGTTAGAGTACCTTTTTCCATTGAATTCGAACCAAATCAATCTTACGTTCTTATAATACCATTTTCCATATCATTACACTACCACCACCAACTTTTTTAACGTCCTGGAGGCAGTTATCAATCTTATTTTCACTAAAAGCATTAGCACTCTTAAAGTTGTAAGAGGCTTTCAGATAAACATTCTGGGCTAGTAGGTTCGCCAAAATGTTCAGCAGTGATGCTATGGTCATACTCTATTCATCTGAGATCTATGAAGTCGATATTTTGGGTGTTGTGGGGTGGAAAGGATGGCATGAATAATCCTCTTGCAATAATTCGTAGTCAACGGAAAACGGTCTTGTGAGATGATCTGTGTAGTTCAGGGATAGCTAATGCTTTAGATTACGTCCTTGCATTACATTCATGCAGTTTGCGTTATCCTCGGAAGTGATGCTGTGCTGCTGATGTCAGACGTAGTCTACCATATATTTTGCGAACATTGGATGTTCGATATTAATGGTGTATGTTTTATGGGTTAGATGTGGTCTGTGTGTAACATTAAAACTTCTTGCAATTGTAGATTGCGGTACCCCTGCTTCCAGTCGCCCATTTTCCTTTTTGTGCCACGCAATATTCAGTTGCAGCAATTTTAGAAAGCGTCATTTTTCAGATAAAAACAGATTCAAAATATCGAGAACCCCTGCTTTTGCTAGCCCCTTTGTACTTGAAGGAATTGCATTGGAATTTAACAAATGAAAATTGAGATCAAAATTTTCGGGGAAATTTTGCAAAATCACGTTTTTTGTCTGTGAGAATTGTAGAATAGCTGTAAAGTTAACAATTGCATTAAAAATCATTCATTTTACTCGAATACATTGTATCCATACAAAAATAAAAGGTATGACAAAACTATCAAAAATTTTCAGGGCAATGTTCCTACTATGCGTTTCTTTTTTTGAAGAGTATATATATATATATATATATATATATATATATATATATATATATATATATATATATATATATATATATATATATATATATATATATATATATATATACTCAACAAAAAAAAGAAACGCATATTGTTTTACTCGTCAAAAAAATTTTTAAAATGTACATGAAACAACTCTTTTTTATGTCATTGGATACCTGTGTACTACTTAAAGGACAACATGTGGTTTTAAAACCCGAGTGTTGAATTATCTCCCTTGATTAAACATGTTTATGAAAGTAGTGTTTTTCATGATTTCTTCTAAATCAGATGTCTATTTCCATTGATATTTTGGATTTAGAGAAACTTTTAACACTTCTATTAAAGGTACTTAGACACAGATTTGAAGTTCATATATTCTCTATTTTTCTCTATAATATTACGACTTGTATATTTTGATAGCATTTCACACAAAAATTAATTAAAAATCTTACTTAATTCAAAAGTTATTAAAACTTTAAATTTTTTGGCGGGTTTGATTGACACATCGTTGTACTTTCACAAATTTTAACTTTATTTTTAATCCTTAGGAAAAGTGGCAATCTTTTTGTATATTAATAAATAATGTTAATACTATAATCCAGAAAATCCACAGTAGACATGTTCGAAAGCAAAACAAACACACAATTTATTGTCAGTCCGTGCGGTTATGGTGAACAGACTCTGGCGATTTAACGCACCCGGTGAATCGTAAATACAAAACAAAAACAAGGCTCTTGCCCTGTTTACAAAAACTGTGTACATAACACAAGTGTGCTCGATTTGCTAAACTCTGTACGCAATTCTTAGTTCGGAATGTCGATGCTTGTAAAGGAGTTTTGCTTTCTAACATTTCTACTCTGCATAAAGTTATTTTTCTGGATTTCAGTTTTAATATTTCTCATTAGTACACATCAAGATTGCCACATTTCCTAAAGATTATGAATAAAGTTAAAATTTATGAAAGTGCAAAGATGTGTCAATCAAACCCGCCAAAAAATTTAAAGTTTTAATAACTTTTGAATTAAGTAAGATTTTTAATTAAGTTTTGTGTGAAATGCTATCAAAATATATAAGTCGTAATATTATAGAGAAAAATAGAGAAAATATGAACTTCAAATCTGTGTCTAAGTACCTTTAAACCCATATTTAAGATTTGATTGCAGTGTTAATACTGGAATGCCACGCCCAAACAAAGATGAATACAACCAGGCTAACAATGTTACTAAATGGAGCTACGCAACAGGAAGTTGCAACTGTATTTGAAATAAATCAATGGGCTTTGCAACCTTAAAACTAACGTCTGAAGACCACTATCTGGCCATCCGCAGGTAACCACAACCAGGCAGGACCTTCAGACACCCTCCCCCCCCCCCTTCATCACCTCATGCGATTCATAACTTGCTGTAAAAACTGCTGCTACAATTGCTGGGTGAAAAATCAGCATAAAAATGCATAAATTGTTCGCAAGAGACTAAAATGAGATATTATTCCCCCACGATATCCCTACATTGGAAATAAGTCCAAATAACTGTATCTCACTTCCATTCTCAATGACCGTGTAGTGTAGGACAGCGTTGTGAGAATTCCATCGGCATCGAAAGCAAGTTTTTTAACTTGCCTAGATAGCTGAGCGGTCTAACGCGCTGTTCCTGCACTGCTAGGAGACAGATTCCGTACGTCGAGAGTTCAACCCCGGGCTGAGGCGGAAGTGAGTATCCTTGTAAAAAGTGAATTTCTCTGTGCTTTCTATATTAATATTTCTTCACTTAGGGCAGTTATATTAGTTTAAGAGTTGTTGTAATTTGTGCTTTATAAATAATATTTAATTCATCACAACATGTATTGGTAACAATCCTCTAAAAAACTAATGTCCAAATAACTGTATCTCACTTCCATTCTCAATGACCGTGTAGTGTAGGACAGCGTTGTGAGAATTCCATCGGCATCGAAAGCAAGTTTTTTAACTTGCCTAGATAGCCGAGCGGTCTAACGCGCTGTTCCTGCACTGCTAGGAGACAGATTCCGTAGGTCGAGAGTTCAACCCCGGGCTGGGGCGGAAGTGAGTATCCTTGTAAAAAGTGAATTTCTCTGTGCTTTCTATATATATATATATATATATATATATATATATATATATATATATATATATATATATATATATGTATGTATATATATATATATATATGACACACATATCGAATATGTTTTAATTACTATGAAGTTATCCTAATCCAATGCCTTCTTTTGTCTCATCAAATACAGAACATTGAAAAAAAAGGTAGTAAAAGTTGAAATAAATATTTTTTTTCTAGAAACATCAAATCATACACTGTATTAGCTTTGAATTAATACTGTACTATTTTGTTTCACGGTAATTATCTCCATTTTAAGAAACCTCAAGTCGATATGCATTTCATATTCTATAAATAGTAACTCAAGTCTTTATGCTGTTATATATATATATACTGGACATTTACATATATTGACATATATATACTGGACATTTACAGTTTGTTAGATAATAAAAATATTTTCTTTTACGGGTGTGATAAAACGAGCTATACCATTCATAGCCAGTGGCTAGGTGTTATTACAATAAATCATGCAAACATTTTTAACAAGTTTTAAATATACCTTTTAAGAGTATCTTCACCTTCATTAGAACCATTGAAAATTTTCAAAATCTTCACTAGTTCATAGTTTGTACGAAGGGGAAATTCTTGCCCTGTTAGGTTAATCAGATATCTGCATTTGTAATATCTGAACAGGTCCTTCATACTGACCAGCTCTTGTGTCAATACACCTTTTCCTCCCCACTGTACTGAAACTCTTTCGTAAGCTAGGAAAACATTATGAAAACATTTTGTTATGCTCGAAAATCTTCGAAAATATCGTCTGTTGTTTTCTTATCTATCTGAATACAGTAAATGTTTTGTGGGCGATAAATTGACCTGAAAAGAATTTCAAACTGCTCTGGACTCTTAAATGCCATTATACTGTATGCAATGGGAAACATCTCTTATTCCTTAGATAAGGAATCATTGATATATCCTTTGGTCTTCACGAACTTTTGACAACCTTTTTTTTTCTTTCTGATGGAATCTGATTTCATAGATATTTTCAGTCGAACAGTTTTCTGGATTTCGTCAATATTATCCTCAAAAGAAGTCGACAATGAACTCCTTTTACGTTCCTTTGGTTGTTGAAAGCTTCAAGGACACGTTGAACCTTTGATGCTGACTTATCTGGAATGATATCTCTATATAAAGGTGAATAAGATGTACTGAATTGTGGACCATTATCAAACAGGTTCAACAAAGTCTGTTCTTTTGTCTTTTCTCTTGATTCCTTTGAATTTGTATTGAAGGACTTCTGACTGAAAAATTCTGTGTTTTCATCACACTGTCCCGTGTATTCCCAGACGTCATGCTTCATACGACGAAAACGGGAATTCCAAGAAGTTAATTTAAATATAATCATAAGTATTACAATTAGAATTCCACATAATAAATATCGTACATTGTACTTCATCATTGAATAAATCAAAGGAAATGTTACTGCTTTGAATAATTATTACTGTGTAATACAGGTAAAATTGCAGCAATACAGGTAAAATTGCAGCATATGTTTGACATATGTTGAACATACAATGCAATTGTGACTTGTGTATACTACAGTGCCGATTTCATCATTGCGATTTACTGGTATATTGATCATGCGTTCCAGTTAAGAGATGTGTAACGGTTTTATTTTAAAAAAAAATACCTACTGTGAAGTCAATCATTTTCGCTTGGGCTTCATTTTCGTTGTTTTGAAGGAATGAAGAGACCCACGAATTTATATCCACGCAATACTAAATGCAAATTTTCACATATTACAACTGAACAATTTTTCAACCACGCAATCAAATCCCCATATACCAAAATATTTCCCCAAAACACGAAAAATCCACCCCTTAGAAATATGTGATATTTTCTTTATTTTTGTTTACTTTCTTCGTCAAGGAAATACTTTTTTTGTTTTTGTCATGATTTATTTTCGGTATGTTACAAAAATTTAATTCCTTTACCTATATTTATCAATCAGGGATTTTCAAGATCAATTCTCGATAAAATTCTGCTTAAGTCAAATTAGAGCTTTTAGATTTTTTTTTTTTGTAATAAATCCTCTCCAATCTGTTTTTTGATCTGTTTTGTTGCTGCTCAGCATTTACATCTTCACAATTTCTAACATTACCTAACCTACTTTTTAAATTGTAATTCCACTTTTGGAACTGTTTCACGATTTATTTTATGTTTTTGCGAGATCATGAAACAATCAAACTGTTAACTGGGTCACAGAATAAACTGTTTGATGTTTAAAGCGTCCTCGTAATATTCAAGCGTTTTGATGATCACGACATCACTATTTACCTGCTATATAATTCATCAAATTGGAATAAAACACACAAACAATCAATAAATTAACTTATTAAGTATTACTTCAAATTAGTAAATATTAGTTTAATCTTTATATTCTGTGTTCAGCTAATTAGTCGACTAGTTTGTGAATAAAAAGTTGTTGATTGACTGTTGGTGTTTTTTTTATTCTAATTTAGTTACTTATGTACTAGGTTAGGTAATAAAACACTTATTTAATGACTACTCGGTGAAGCGGTCAAACTGTTGTCCCTCGGTAGTAGGGAAGACCTGGGAAACTGTTGCCCGAGGCCGAATGCCGAGAGCAACAGTTTCCTAGGTCTTCCCCACTACCGAGGGACAATAGTTTGACCGCTTCACCGAGTAGTCATTAAATAATTGTCTACTGCAAACCCATTTTTAAATCTTTTGGAATCAGTTTAATATAACTGTCGTCTGCATTTTGTTTTCTGGAAGAGAAATATCTTAAGTGCAAAAAATGAAAAACTTTGGCTAAAACCGGATTACGAGTTTTTAGGGATAGATTTACATAATCTATAATTACCCTTAAACAATCTTCATTTCATCATTTTAATGTTATAGTTTAATTTTGAAGATTTTTTAACTCTTTTGTTTGTATTCTAGTCTCTAATTGGTTGATTACCAAAAAGGAACGCAAATTATTTCTTTATAACCTGGTTTGGTATAGGGACACACCCCCTTAACAACCAGCTGAATCATCTGTATCCATACAATCCCCTCATTTCCAGTCCTTGGAATTCATGGGAAATTCCAGATGTAATAAATGTAACTTTAACTTCAAACAGTAGCTTGATCTTACCTCGTGTACACAAACATAATGAATGCTAGATCTGTATATCAGTTTTTACCTCCCCTTGTTTCATATCACCTCCGTTACTAGGGATGTTTTATTGGGGGCAAATTTGAACTCATAAAAAGCAACACAATTTTACACCCACAGTTGTTTAATTATTTTAAAATTAAATTATAAGGAATGACTCTAATTCTTGGCCAAATTATTCGATGATAACCTGGTTTGGGTCAGTTTACGCTTTTTTATAAAGCGTAAACTGACCAAACCAGGTTATCATCGTATAATGTGGCGAAGAATTAGCGTCATTCCTTAATTATATAAACACATGAATATAAGTACTTGTCTTGTTTAGGCTTCAAATTTCATCACATTCATAGCTACTTTACTGCATGAAATAACTAATTTTGTGATATAATCAATATTTTATACAATCATATGTGTCACAGTTTTTCACCTGCATTTCATTTATGTTGTTCTTGTCAAGACTAAAAGAGTTCATAAAACGTAAAATTTCCTGTCTCGTTCATATCACTGATATACTCATCCAAGAGGTTTTTTATTATTTAAGGTGAGACACAATAGATAGAACAAAATTTTCCTCAAATTCAATATTTCTGAGACTTTGATATTTTGTTTTAGGATACAAAATTTCTCTTTATAAATAAAATGAAAGAAATTTAGCCACATATATTGAAATATGGCCATAACTGCTATCTGGGGCCCCTTTTTCCGCGACGAATTATATTTAATCTACAACGATGTTGGTAGTTTTCAAACATGACTGAATAAATACGACGCCTTTTGAATAGTTTCAATAGTTCAGACACATTTTAATTATATGAAATACTGCATTATCTTTGATTTTTTAGACCCTATCAGAGCTTAATTCGGCCAGGTTTATGCGAATATTTTCTTTTATGACAAGAAAATGGGCGGGTCTTAGTACAATAGTGGGATATGCGTGTCCGAGAAAATCTTATATGGTTATTGTTATTAATTTTCACTTAGTCATTGTCCAATCCGATGACAGA